GTATCTAATGTGTCTGAAGAGCCCCAGGCCTTCATCACCTGCCTGACACTCTTTGTACCTAGCTGGTTGAGTCTTCTTGTGAAATCCTGGTTGCATCAGCTGAATGACGTTAGTAATAGGTAAAGCTATCTTTAACTGAATGCTTAGCAACATTATGGGTCAATGCTTTATGACTGCTTTTCTCTATAATAAGCAAGAGGCTAACATCTACATAGTTTGGATGTATGTGTGTCTCTCTATTTATATATATTATACATGTAGTATAATGGATTCAAACATGCCAAAGATCATGAAGATGGTACAGGAACAGGCAATGATTCGTTACTTTACACGTAAGGTAGCCATGAGTTGGAGCCAGCTCAATGGCAGCTACAAACCACAACAATATAGATGCATGGACTCCCTGGGTGGTGCAAATGGTTAACATGCTCGATGCTAATTTAATGGTTAGAGTTTCGAGTCCACCCAGAGGTGCCCCAGAAGAAAGGCCTGGTGATCTACTTGCAAAAAATCAGCCATGGAAAACCCTGTGGAGTAGTTTTACTGTGGCACACGTAGGGTAGTCGTGAGTCAGAGTCAACTTGACGACAAATGGTACTTGTATACATATGAATGTTTTTCCATGAGGAGGAATACTGCAGAAGAAGAGGGAACTGGCATTTATTTACTGAGTGCCTGCTATGTGATAGGCCTTTTGGTTCACATACTCACATGTGTAATGTCATTTTATCCTCACAAGTTTATAGGGTACGTTTTACTCTTCCAAGTATTCCTATGAGAAAACTTGAAATTTAGAAAGGATTAGTTATTGATATTAAGCAAAGCATTTGAATAAAGGCTTCTTGACCAACAAAACGTTTTTCCTTTCATTATGCAATATGACATTATGTTGACTGTATTGATACGGTTACTTACTAGCTGTGTGAGCCTGGACTATTTGCATAATCTCCCTGAACCCCAATTACAACTAGCATTATCTCTGGGAAAAATGGGAATATTAATAATATGTACTTTTCAGTTACATGTGGGGATATATGCC